AGCAAGTAAGTGTTACAACCATACCTGCTCTCCCCTACAAAAAGACTTGAAGAAACACTTAAGCCTTTGGAAAAATACGCTTGGTTGTCTTCTAATGTGTTTAGCCGAGCCTATACTGAATTCACGCCATGTCCACACAATGGGAAGAACTCTTGTAATTATAACTTGGGAGTGTTTATACATTATTCCAAGATGGCTTACCCCACTGCTAGCCTTGCAACAAACTACCTTCCGCTTGCTTCCAGCCTTTGCTAAGCTAGGCTAAAAACCTTCCAAGCATTTTCACTACACTGGATGTGCAGAGATACAGTTTGTATCGACCTTTTAATTTCAGAGAAGAAGGCAAACCAGCCAATGTTTCTTCTTAACTTGCGAGCCAACACAGCCAAAACACACAACACAATTTGAGAAATTAGCACAAATTCTTTAATATATGCATTACATTTTGTATACGCATTCTGAAGATGGCTTTTCCAACTATGGAAGTATTTATGTGTCACAGTTGCCTCGTGCAGAGGCACGGAAAAGGGATCTTTTGGCTACGTTCAGACTGCAGATCAGATTTTTTTTGCCCATACGTGACTCAGATCTGATTTTTTTATGACAATGTGAACCGGCCAAGTCTCATGCAATCTTATCTTTTCCAGTCCGGAATTGGGCAACTTCCATATGTGGTCCAAATCCGATACAGATCGGATCTTTTTAAATGGGACCTGAGTCTGGGACACTCGGAATTGATGCGACTTTGAGCAGCTGTTGTCGCAGTTCTGCTGTAGACGGAGCCGCGGTGAATGAAAAAGCTTCACAAAGGCCATTATTAAACATGTGGCTCTCTTTCTCCTCTACCTCGCTATCATCTGCTCACAAATTCCCATTCTTACACCTGAAATCCACCAGACCGCGAGCTCTGTCCTCTCGTGAGAGGACAATAAAAAAACGGGGGTCTTCTGTGGGCTAACAGGAGCTAACCTCTGTTGCTCCTTGTTTACTCCTGTAGCCGGCGTGTGACGTTGTGTTATTATCTGCGCATGCGGGTCACTTTCAGGCCATGGACACGGATACGGGCCACATTTAAGCAGTGAACGTGAACTGTCAACCAAAAAAAATCTAGGGAAAAATTAAGGCCTGCAGTCTGAACTTAGCCTTTGACCCAGATGCAGACACTAAGTGAGGGAGGATCGGTTTGTCCAAGAAATCAAATAAAGCTCTCCCGACAAAAGCAAAATCATCCAAACACACGGTACAAGTCCACAGTGAAAAGGAAAAGCAATTTTCCAGGAAGAACATGCAGGTGAAATAAAAAAACAAAACAACTAAGGCAAATGAACAACAGACTATAAATGCCAACAAACAGGTAGGGTGATAAACAGAGGTGAGACACATTAGGTAATCAAGACAGACAGGAACAAAATTCAGACAAGACACAGGAGGCAAAACAAACTAAACTTTAAACCGAACCATGACATTATGTGACAGTAGAAACCTCCTGTTCTAGTACAGACTAAATTGACAAACGGTACATTAAGGATTTCACGTTGAAGGCTAATCCTGGGTTTTGAAACTGATGGGTCTGATCACCCACAAGTGATTCTGGTTTTACCCTTTGTATTCACCTTGTCCTCTTGTTTTGGAGACCTCTGTGGATAATTTTGCTCCTGTTAAAACCTCTTCTCCTAACTGGGAAAAGCTGACTGCAATGAAGGCAATGTAGCATGAAGTAGCATGACCTCCCAGGAGGTCATGCTACTTCATGAAGTCTTCAAACTATGTCTTTTGTTATTGTTTTGATGCGAGAGACCCCCAGTGGCAGAAAATGACGTACTGCTTGTTGAAGTTATGTTGCATCATTTTAGTGTTATCACGTATTGACACCTTTTTTTGCTGTCCGTGGGTCATTTCACGCCATTTAGTCTCTATTGACTTACGTTGTGCAGAGGCGGCGTGTCATTTTACGAGCGAATGTCACAGAGAATGAAACTTGATATTGTATAAAGGGCTACAAAGTCTGCATAGAGATGAGGTTGCGGTGGATGGATGAGTCAAACAAACACAGGACTCTGCTGTTCATGACCCGTGTGAAACCAAACTCAACTTACATTTGTTCAACAACATTATCTCTTCTGACTCCTTGCATGCTGTGTTTTGTCTAAAAAGTGTCATATGTGTAACTGTATGTTCAATATAAGAGTACATGTTTTGAACAGAACTGCCCAAGGATGCAAAATGAATTTTAGTGTAATTATAAATGTGCACATAAAATATTAGGCTGATGGGTTCAGTACAATGCAAGATCGGCTGCGGAAAGACACACACAGACACACGACCAAATGCAGGATGCTCTCAAGGCTTAAGCCTGGAGGAGATAATTCATTTTCATCCTTGTCCAAACTTGACCCAGCACACATGCGTTTGTCTGTCTCGCTTATCATTACTATCATTATCACAGGTTTGTCAACAATGCAGTTGTTTACGTCAAACATAAACTCATCACTCTTGCAGAGGCTTATTCACTGCTTCACCTCAATTATACCTGTCTGCAGCCTGCCTCCACATAGCAGGCACCTGTACAAAAAAAAACATCCAGCATGTCTGACTTCTCAGTGTCTCCTCATGGCCTTGCTCATATTACACATAATGAGAACACTCATCATAATGTCATTCCTTTACGGGACAGTGTGGGTGGGAGAATTTGGCTTGTGCCACCTCTGTCACTCAGGGGTTTATTCATCATCACCATGATTTTCCAGGGCTGTCAGTGTGTGTGCCACTGAAATGGGCCCGATGGCATGAGGAATCGGCCCGGCTGTGTCACTGTCATGCCCACAGCTACCGTCAACAACCCTCCCAGGAAACATTCATTGTGCAAACATTTTGAAGTTTTAGGTGCCTCAATGGAGACATCCATCCCATCAGGCTGTTTGGAATTCAGGCTGACGTGGAAAAAACAGGTCTTGGTAATAATTTTGTTTTGCCTTAAATTCTCCCCTTGCATCATAGCTGTAAAGGCGGTGACACATGTAACAACAACAATATCTATGCTAAGCTAAAAAAAACTTAAATTCTTTAGCACTGAGATTCATTTTTTTTTTCCATTTCAGAAAAATAAATGACAGCTTCAGTAAAGACTGATGGCTCCCTGCTCGCTGCCTTTGCTGTTGTAGCTAACCTTTATGTAAAGTGATGTCAGTGATTTCGGTGCAAACAAGATTGGTTGTGTCGGACACAAAACCTGGTTGGCATTCTCAGCTGTGCATGCGTGCCCTGCTATTTTATTTGCATAAAGTCCAGGAGATTTCTACTTTTCAACAGCACTATTTCCTCCTGACGTGCATTCAGCCACCCTCCCCGTGCTCCGTGTAGAATAAAGGTGGATCACCCCAAAGCAGAAGTTTCATTGCCTTGTGAATCGGGTGTTACTTTATTCACATTTTAGGAAATCTCCATATTTACACCCTGATGCTTTTTGTGCTTTTTGTCATTGCCCACCGACCGTAACATAGCCTTTTGATTTAGTTTTTAAAATTGCTGTATCAGTTTTATCTCATTAGTCCCTCTGATTTGTTTTTATCAGTGGTCCGCTCTGCTCCATTCCTATGAATTACAGCAATTACATTTTTCCCCCCTTCCATACTGGTTTACTCCCACTCGCTAACAGATTATTTTTCTTGCCAAATGCAAACTGTTTTTATTAAGAAAATGCCAAGAGAGAACAACTTTCTCTCTTCTACATTTTTTAGCTTTCATGACCTATAATTTTTTACATGTTTGTTTGTCCAAAGAAAAACAATCACTATTATCAAAGACCTCTTTCAGAGTTTTTGTCCCCGTGCTGGTGCTTAAAGAGGAAGCCCTCCTCAAAAGAATCACTTTTCTGTGGAGTATGAGTAGGCGGGGTATCATATTTAATTGGATAGTGGTTGAGTGATATAATGAGATGTTGGATACTAACTACAGTATTGGACATTGAACTTAGGTTGTTGTTGAGCAATATAAGACATGAATATTTATGTTAATATTATGTTTATATTTTGTTAACATTTTGAATCTGATAAGTGGCCAGTTATAGTATTACTGACAGAGAAATAACTGAATGGGGCTTGAAGTGGCTGAAGGTTCTGTACTGTCTTTGTAAACACTTAAAAGCTGTGAGAAGATTTAATTAAAGTTTACCACAACATCTCCACCACCTGCTGCTGTTTGATTCTTAGCTGACAGAGATTCAACATTATACCTACTGCTTCCTGTGCCGCCTGCACTCCTTTTTTAAGCAAACATCTTTCCCTGCCATTGCAGCAGGACAGCACAGCCAAGTATATGGTGCAGTCGGTGAGCAGTGGTGAAAAAAAGTACTCAGATCCTTTACATAAAGAAAGAAAAATAGCCCATGTGACTGTTATATACTATATATGACATTATTATATTGTTAATATTGATGCATGAATGTTTCAGCAGCATTTTACTATTGCAGCTGATCGAGGTGGAGCTAGTTTTAGCTATTTATATACAGTTAGTTTAGTTCAGTGGTTTCCACCGTAGGGGTCGGGCCCCTCTTAAGGCTCACAAGATTTGGATTTTGTATATAAAACTTAGCTTATGTAAGCTATATTTTTTAATACAAAGACTTAAGAGTAACTATATATGTCAGATAAATGTAGTTTTATTTCCCTTTTCTGCAGAAAGTCTCAAAATCTATTTAAGAAGAGTTCTTGAGTAAGTTTTACTTTCCACCGCTGCCCATGAGTACAATGGAGTCAGGTGAAGTTAGTCATAAAGATGAACTGGTTTGAAGAGCAGAGCCAACAGATCACAAAGGAATGGTTGCCTGTTTTGTCCTTCATCCTTGATGTCAGCGTTATATTTGATTTCACCCTGTGCTGTTCTTCTATTTTGCAGAATTCAGGGTAATAGTAGTCCATATTTCTGTTTTCTGATTCATGCACACAACACCGCAGCCTTTTAAAGATGAAATCTTGTTCGTCACTGTGTCTCTCTGCTTCCCCAAGGACGGAGGGACGAGGACAATGGGTGCCGGTGGGGTTTCTGCCCAAGCCCTGCTGTGGCTCAACCTGTTCAGCTTGATCTCTCTGGTGTCTCCCCTTAACCCGGATGACCCCAACGTCTGCAGCCACTGGGAGAGGTCAGTTTTCCCCCCAATTTCTCCAACACTGAAAGTGAAATAGCAGCGCTCTGAACGCTGCAGTGAAGTAATGGACTGCCTCCACAAATCAAGACTGAGGGTATGCCAATAATCAAAAGCAAAACGGAAAAGGTTTGCTCCTGGGGACATACTGGGGTCGTAAATTCAGAGCAATGGTAATGTGACTGTTTGAGTGGTCCCACCACTCAGTGCTACTACGCTGAGTAAAAGCACAATGTCGTTTCTGGTGAGAGCAACACAGAGTGCAGGTGCTCTGATCGATAGTCTCTCAGTGTAATCAGTAGGAATTGTGGAAATGGATATTACCTCTGATGACTATTACAGTTTTCACTTCTTGCTAAAGGTTAGACTCAATTCAGTAGCCTTTATTCAACACAACATGAAAACACACTGAGAACAAAGTCACCAGTGTCAGGTGTGTATTGTTACGGGGGGGTAAAAAGTAAAGTTATGTCGGGATTCTTGGAAATCCTGAAACTTTTTGTTTTTTGGGAAAGTAAAATAAAGCTTTTAAAGATGAGGGATCAATACTTCACATCCTGATACTGTTTTAAAAGGTGACTTTAATGACTTGGTGACATCATGAGATATTGTTCTACTCCACTATGATGCAATTTTGAGTTTACAGATTTCACCAAAGCCTTGAGAGTTTGAGAGAATTGAAAAAATCTTTGAGTTTCACGTTGGAGCGTGCGGCAGGCTGGTCTGTTAATTTAATAAAGACCGATGTTTTTTCAAGATCAGAAGTTGATTTGTGCAACAGTTTCTAGTTGTACTTTTAATCTGTGGTTGTATTTTCTTTCCCTTTAGCTATGCAGTGACCGTGCAGGAGTCTTACGCTCATCCATTTGACCAGGTCTACTACACGCGCTGCACCGACATCCTCAACTGGTTCAAATGCACCAGACACAGGTATGGACACAGCAACACACTGTGGACAAGTGCAGCAACTAATTACTAATCATTTAATTTCTTGAATGTTTTTATCACTAACTAATTAATACATTTGTCCATAAAATCAATGTCAGTATTTCTCAAAGCCTAAGGTGGACCTTTTAAAAAAGACTCTCTGACTAACAATCCAAAGTTAATTTTACTGTGATGAAAACAGAGTAAAGTTGCTGATCCTCACATTTGAGAAGCTGAAACCAGAGGCCGGCTGGCATTTTGCTTGATAAATGGCTTAAATTGAATGAAGACCAGATTACAGTCCTCCTCTCGTAATATTTAAATCTTGTTCTGAACTCCAAAAAGACAAAATGTATGCATTTCAGGAGAACGCAGAGCTCCAATCCATTCTCTTAATGTAAATCTAATCACCTCCTTTACAAACTTTCAAATTTGACTGAGCTTGTTTCTCTTTTCAAAACAGACAAACCATTTTACAATCCAGTATACTGTCTAAAATATTAATACGCTCATGTGGTTGTCCCTAAATTTAACAGAGTGCCATTCAATTCGACAGCTATTGTGCTCCATACGGAGGGCGCCAGCACACTGTTGTTTTCTTTTAAAGACTAGGGGATCTAAGTTGCAGAGATATTTAACGTCCTTAGTTGAGTTCAAAGTGAACAATGATACCAGATCACAGAATGAATAAACTTTTCCTTCTTCTCCTCATTTGCTTATCCAAATCGAGGGTCTAAGGACAGAGGATGGTGTTTACTGCACAGACTGTTAAAGCCCCTTGAGGCGAGTTAGTGATTCTTTAAATTGACTTGACGTGCGATGACTTCTTTGTGCGACTGAACTGTTATGCAAAATTTATTTGTACAATATATATCTATTTTGTTCTCTTGTAAAAGAGAGCTTGATGTCAAGAATTGATTTAGCACTGGACTGTAAATTTCTGTAAAACAATTAGTGTGATCACATTTGATCACACTTTACGTCAGAGACATCGTCCAGCCAGTTCACAGCTTATATACAGTTTGTCAAACTCCATACATCTTGAACTGTATTTACTCCTGTTGCTGGAGCTCAGAGGCAGTCAGTAGCTAGTGTCTACTACCCAACACTGGCAGTTCAGCTCCGCCTGATGTGGTCATTTTGATGAGCGACCGTTGGCGTATCTGCTTTAATGACCACATTAAGCTTTATAGCCACCAGTTTAGCTCCTCCAGCTAAGAGCTGAGTCATTGATCTTAAGCTGAAATGTCAGACAACATCAGCGTCCTTGAATGAGAGGGAGAAACTCCCTTAAACGTTAAGTGTCGCTCGCCTTTTAGAAGTGAACTTTTTACTGTTATTATGGGTCCTCATTATTAACAGCACTATAACATTGTGAATTGTTGTTCTTAACATTTTAATAAAAGTAGTTGTAATGGAAAGAAGGCCTGAAGAAAAATGTAGAAATATAAAAAAGAAACATTAACTTTCAGTTAAAGTGAAAATGTGAAATGTAATTTCACTTTAATAGTAACCTTACTTAAGGTTTAATTTAACACAACCTTTCATTTTTTATTTATTTAATTTATTTATTTAAAAGGGAGAGTGCATAATAATGAACATATTAGCTTTTCAGCAATGTAAATATGCCAGAATTACCCCAAGGCTATTTTCCATCTGTAGTCCCCGGCAGGTTGTCACAAGGTATAAAGTAACACAGTTAAACATCAAATTAAATATATTATACAACATCATTTTCAACATCATGTATTATAAAGACACCACAATTTTGTGCCATTCTATGAAATTAAGTACAAATGAATTACATTAAAGTGCTATTTAGTGCAGTAAAGTGCTGCATCTTATACGGTGAACAAACCCATACACATGCAATAGTGGTCTTGAGCCATTGTTTGAGACGGTTTTTAAAGCTGGGGTAACTCGGATATTCTGTCCCCTTAACTGACGATACAAACTGTCCAAATGTTGTACGCCTGTACGGCGCCATGCGACCACCTCTCGTGGAGGCCCTGGTTACACTTCTGCCACCACCAGCTGTTTTTAAATTAATGCATTCACTTAGTGGGGGTGGAGCAAGTCCATGTAGGATCTCATGTATAGCGCAGGCAAATATTAACTTTGAAACCTTTTCAAAGCTCAGCAAGTTATGTTTCTGCAGGATAAAGCAGTGATTAAAAAAGTTTGAAAAGTGACTATTGGTTTGAATGTTGTGAAAAGATCATCGAAACGCCAAGGTACTTAAATTCATGTACAAATCTGAGTTCTTCTTCTTTCAGGAATACATTTGAGTGTGTCCTTTCAGTCGGCCGTTTAGAGAATAATGATAGACGAGTGACGGTAGTCTTTCATTTTTCTATTATAATCACAAATTACACTAATTTACGCACTCCTCACTTTATGTGTGTGTGTGTGTGTGTGTCATGTTCAGGATCAGCTACAAGACGGCGTACAGACGAGGCGTGAGGACCATGTACAGGCGACGCTCTCAGTGCTGCCCAGGCTTCTATGAAAGTGGAAACCTGTGTGTTCGTAAGTTGTGTGATGTCTGGATAAAGTCAGCTAAACATACATTTTTATACACATAAACAAGACAATAAAATGATACCGTGCTGCCTGTAAGGTTTAATACTCAACAAGATGAAAGCTGCACATTTCTGGTAATGGTTAACAAAGAATCGTTTTATAGCTCTTTAGAATTTCTGCTTCTTGCATTGCTTGACAGCATGTAGCCGGTGCGACAAGTACAACAGGGGGCAGATTATAGAAAACTATTGAAACCCTAACCCATCACACACATACAGAGAGAGGTCACTAATCATCTGCTCTCTGACTGTGAATACACTCAAACAAGAATAGAGAATTGTGGTGTATCACATAAAATGATGTTTCCAGAGACGCATGATTTTTGCAAGAGTCAGGACCGAAAACTACTGCGAGGAGGAAAAGGTTTTAAATGCAGCTTTACAGAGAGGCCAAGGGAAATGTTAGATTTATTTTTATTGATTATTTGCTCATTTGGGGCCAATGAAACAAGCTAACCTCAACACTGACATATTATCTCCTTATGAATTTGCTACGGCAAAAGACAAGATATGAGATATTCTTCACCAGCTGGTCTCTAATCGTGTCTGTCTGCTGTTTGGCGCTGAGCAGACAGTGTACAGCGGATCTATCGGGGCTTCTCTCTCCTGAAAACAGCTGCCTGCTGCAGCTGGAAACGAGGTTGAAGTGTGGTCACGTAGAGCCAAAAATTGAGCTATAACCCGCTGAGAGGGTCTGTAGAGACGAGGGGAACTGCGGTCGGGTGATGATTCTCTCTGCGTTTGTCACTACGAGCCCCTCCAATCACATTACATGTAGCCATTTAATAGTCATAGCTTCTATAAAAATATTTATTAGTGCAGTTTTTAACACTGCTTCAATCTGCAAATGGACACCTGTATCAGATGTATGCAGTTATACTATATGTACGTTCTAGTGGCCTGGTGTAATAAGTTTTAAACTCAAATTGCTCACGTCATACGTCTGTCCAGAAAACGTAATAATCCATATTTAAACAGCAGCATATAACAAATGTATCTTTTGACCACTTTATTTTATATAATAGTCTTGTTAATAACTTGATTCTCTGCTGCTGGAAGGCAAAAAGCTTTTCATAATGCTGTTGTGTCTGATATTACAATGAAATAAACTTTTATATATTTAATAAAACCCATTCTGGCTGAACAAAAACATTAACATACATTACTCTCTTCTTATGTATGTGAAGTAACGGTGCTCTTATAAGACTGCAAATGCACATTGTGTTTGGTCAAATGGCAATAAAACCAACCACTGGTGTTTCCTATCAGACAGAAGTATCTCCACCGCAGAGGAACGTATGCTCTGCATAACATCTCTGCAACAAACAAAATCATTTTCCTGTCATCTGCATTGTTATTTTCAAACTTTTTTTACTCCACTAGATACACACAAAGTATTCAGGCTTGTTAAAATTGCAATGTATCTTGTGGAACAGTGATTCACTCTAAGTCGTTATCTTTTCGCTTGCGCCCAGGCGGTTATCTGTATCTGCTGTTAGAGCTGTCAAAGTTAGATCAATCCTGCTCTGTTACAAAGTGGATCCATTTCTACTTTTTTGCCACACAGAGATTTTTGAAATCAACGTAAACATAAGGGGGGGAAAAATATAAAACGAGAAACAAAAGCTGCAAGCAGAAAACGTCTGCTAGCTAATATGGAGATAGATGTCAGATCGTCAGATATCTCTTAAAGCTTTATTCTGAAGATATGTTGTTTGAACAATAGCGTCTTCTTGGATCATTTACTGCTTCAGGCTTTGGCTCATTTTCCTCTGTTGTGCAAGAGACCATCTACTTATTTGAAAAAAAGATTTCTTTGTGATATTTGTCACATTCACCTCAGTAACAGATGAGGTGAATGTGGCTTGTTTTCGCTTTAATCCCTGGTGCGTGGGACGGATCTGTTGTTAAAAAGGTTGGTCAGTGAGATAAAACACCAATATTTCTCTACATAGTTATTTTTGTGAAGCTCGTTTAAAGTTTTTCCAGCCAAAGAAAAACACGACTCTTACATCAAACAGAACATCAGACAATTACACCGAACAGATGAGACAACAGATGTTCACTCGAAGCTGACACGACACGTGTGCATTTGATTCTTTATTTAACTGTAAACCGAGTCTTCAGCTTCTGTTCTTAATTGTTAGAGACACACACACACACACACACACGCACACACACACACACTGCTACTAGTCTCTCAAAGTCACAAACTGACGCAAACTCACACACTGCCACTCCTAAGCCTGCCCTAGCCAGCCAGGGCAAAACCATGATCACATGATTCAGGCTGATTTAAAACAGTTAATTTAATGAGTTTGTATTATGTTTTGATACTCTATGGCAGTCGTAGAAAAGAAGTTAACAAACAGAATTTAGCTCCAAAAGGACTTCACAAAGCCACTTTCAGACATGCTATTCAACTCCCAGCAGTCTACTAAATGTATTGGGTTTTTTCAGACAGTGTCTCTGATGTGGCTCAATCTTCAATTCTTCTCTGGTCTTTGGATCATACACAGCCTGGCTGGTATCATGGGGGGCCAAAAAAACAATAATAAATGAATAATTTGTGCTCTCAAATTAATAAATTGTCCACACTGATTACTAGGGCTGTCCCCAGCTAAGGGTTTACATAGTCTAATCAGAATAGTCAAGTCCTGCCTGTAGTCGAATCATGTGTGTTTTTGTGCACGGCGATTGTGAGGCGGAGGGGGGCTAACAAGTGGTGGCTCTGCTTTAATCTTGAGAAGCTGAATTTCCAGCTAAACTGAGGCTTATTGTTGACTCTCTCTCTCTCTCTCTCTCTCTCTCTCTCTCTCTCTCTCTCTCTCTCTCGCCTGTCATTCACCGGTCTTGTGCAGAGTTTTGCGTGCACGTCGCGGTTCCTCGCGGGTCTATTTTAGTAGCCGGCTATTTAAAAATGAATAAAACATTATTTGTGTGGTTCATCAACGGTGATAAATTACGGACAACTCGGCACACACCAGTGAAGCTGGGGCTCGCTCTCTTCAGCAAGTGTTCCTCTACTACCGCGCGCAAACACGCTACGCCTACACATGCGCACTGACGACCAGGGTTAGGGTTACACAATTTCGGATTTATTTACGCACTTTAAAAACATTTAATGAAAGTTTTTTTTGTTTTTATTTACAGCATTATATGTTGAAATGTATATTGTAATAGACTGTATATTAACTTATTGGGAGAAAAGTGGTAGATCTATGTAAAATTATTATTTGTGCACACATTAACAGAATTATATGTTAATTGTTAACATGAA